CTTTTTTTAACTTTTCGGATCCGAAAAGAAAAATTTTTAAAAATTAATAAAATTAATAAAAATTTTTTATTTTCTTGTTCTTTTCTTTCTCTTCTTCAGTATTTTTATTTTTAGTCGACTCTTATTGTAAATATATAATCTAATTGTAACCACACAGGCATACAATCTGTACTTATAATTTGTTCTAAAGGGACAACAGCCGCAGCATAATAAAATATTTTTTCATTTCATTTTATTATTTTTTCCCTTTTTGCCTCTCTAACACGGCATCGCGTTAAGATACAATTTTGAATAATACGCCATTACAAAAAGGATGACATGATGGACATTTCCCTCACTAACAATATGCAGGTCTGATTTTCAATTTAGGAGATATATTAATCCACATGCATAAACACTTGGCGAAAAGGGAAAAAATAGTGTCAAAAACCAACCTATAACGAGTTTTATAGATGGTATGGATTAAAATATCTCAGAAACTTAATACTGACCTGTATAATGTAAACGAGGGAAATGTTCAGCACTTTAAAATGAAATTAAATGAAAAATAAATTTATTCTGGGACTGAAGTCCCCTTAGAATAATGGTAGAGTTTAAAAAATATGTACATTAGTCTGGCATGTAAGTATCATACAAATATATACAAAAAATACCTAGGAAATTGTAAGCACATATATATATATATATATACTATATACATAAGCAGTAGCTTAATATATGTGCTAGTGGACGATGCTGAGACTGTCGGTGTTCTATTTTTTAAAATTCTAGCTTTGAAGAGGATCCCATCGTTGACTTATAAAAAGAAAATACCGGGATTGAAACGTCAATAAACATAGAGAAAATGAACATTCAGTAGTTTATTAAATAATTAATAAGTGATCTTATTCCCAATTAAATAGTTATGTTTAAATATATATATATATATGTATATATATATATATATATATATATATATATATATATATATATATATATATATATATGTATATATATATATATACACACACCAAGATAATAAGGAAAATACAAATATATAAAAAAAAAAATACAAAGGAAAATATAAATATCTACAAAACATAATAACGATAAACACAGATATATACAATAAATACTGAGATATAAATAAAAATAAATTTGACTTCTATCAATTAACTGCTGGTGACAAACGTAATTATATAACTCAGAAATTTTCACAAGCTTACAAGTAGGTGATGGAATAGGAGTTGTTTGAAGGACTTTATGGACGTGGTTTGACGTATGGAGATGGGTAAGGAGTTCCATAATGAGGTAGCACGAATGACGAAGGATTTACTGAAGGAAGTGGTTTTATGGGAGGGGATATATAAATCTATAGGTTGAGATCTGGTATTGAGAGAGTGGATAGAGGAGAGTAAAGTAAGGAGTTCTAAGATTTAGGGAGGATTTCTGCTTCTGAGAACTTGAAAAAGAAAAACACTAAGAAGGAATTGCCGTCGGAAAGTAGGATATAGCCAATTCAACTCGGTGTGCCAACAAGAAATATGAGAACGCTTGGGAATCGCCCTCCGTATACCAGGCAATCGTAGTCGAAGTGGGAGAAGACAAGAGATGTTACAAGGAGCTGTCTGGTTTTTTTGGAATGGAATCACGGAATCGAAGAAATTGTTTAAGGATAGTTATAGATTTACGGGCACTTCATCCTCTTTGTAATGGCGTATTACTCAAAATTGTATCTTAACGCGACAAGAAGAAAAATAGCATAAAAAATATTTAGTAAAATAAGATGGGCACGGGCAATTGGAATAGCGATGTGGTTTTATAGTTTATAACAATAATGAAAGACTCAGGGGTTCATAATAATCAAGACTGCAACTTTCATTAAAATTTTTTATCTTCGAATTACAATATCGTATATACCATAATCGGTTGTAACGATGTATCAGTTTTAACAACGTAAAAGCCATGTCCGATGATTTCAATGGCTTTTGAAACATAATTTTGAATGGATATAGAGATTGGAATTACTGACTTTCAAGACAAAATCAGTTCCTCTAAATATTCCGCTATTAGACTATTAGCTATTAGAAGCTACCGACAATTTCATATAACGGAAGGACTTATACCTAGTAACTATTTTAAATTCTAGATAAACTTCATTGGAACACACAACTTCAGTCAGTCGGTTGAAAGCCGCTGTTTTCTATAAGAAAATTTAAATTAGGTGCGAAATTTGACAGTTCATTTAATAGAAGAACTGACAGCTGAAATTTTGATATAATGTAAAGAATATGTCCCTAAAAGAGAATTCACCTTGGCTGACGATGTACTCAATTGCGTTTTGAAAACTGACGCATTAAAGTCATCAAATTAGGCCAGTCAGATGGTAGTTGGATGAAGAATAAATTTAAATACTCAAGTTCACTTCGGTTTTTTAGGGATTCTGAATATGAATTTGATGTTCCCGAACCAAATATACCATTGCGTTCTAAGATATATGCAAAAAACAGTGAAATTTCTGAACTTTTGTGGACATGACTCCGAAACTATGCATTTTATCAAAATTATTAATATATACAACGTTAAAGAAGATATAATTTAGTATGAATTTTATAAATAGCTTTTTAATTAAGGCCAACAGATGTGGAGTTAGAAAATGTTGACTGTTTGCTTATTTTATAAGCTCATAGAATCGAAGGCGTATCTCCCTTGTAGTATCTACCGCTTTCAACTTAAGTACTTTTTGTCTTTTCAATGCTTTTGATTCGGTTAACTTAACTATATTTATAACAGAACTAGAATGTATAAACAAATTACATAACTTTTATATATTCCGTTAGTATGAGAGACATCAATATTCATAATAATCAAAAACTTGAGAACCAAAATGGGTTTCGAAGTTCGAGCTCTCTAATACCTTTTCAAATTTTTGTATTTTAATGATTATACTCGAGTTCAATAAAAATTTGCATGCACCTTCAAATTAATTCAAGATTATATAGAGTCGTAATATGTGAGTAGGCGAAATGTCATAGCGACCACTCGGACTTTGAAACGCATTTTGGTCCTTAATGTTTTCATGATTGTTATACATACTGAAGTCTCTCATGCCAACAAAATATATAAAAGTTGGGTAATTTGTTCATACATTCTAGTTCTGTTATAAATATAGTTAAATTTACTAAATCAAAAGCATTGAAATGACAAAAAGCACTCAAGTTGAAAGCAATAGATACTACAAGGGAAGGAGGGGTCAGAGAGGTAGGATCGAATAATTAGATATAAGGACTGGGGTAGATGGGATTTAAGCTTGAAGAGTAGTCTGATGTGCCATACCCGGTTAAAAGCTTGCACAATGTCCAGGAATGCCCCTAGCAATACTCTAGGGCTGAGGATATGTGGTCAACAACAAAGAGTCCTTGTTGACTCTTTAGATAGTGGAATCTTGGAAACAAAATCCGATTTGATGGGTAGCAACATTTTTGGAATTCAATTATTGATAGGATTCTTTCAAAAATTTTTGAAAGGATTGGGAGTAGTGCTAATTGATCTATAGGATGATGTATTATTAGAAGATTTGTCTGGTTTCAGGAAAAGGACAATGGTGGAATTTTTCCATAATAGAGGAAAATGGGTAGTTCTTAGGATGAATATATGTGAGCTATATATGTAAGCTATATATGTGAGGAACATGATAGCTTTGGGTGGTAGTTGGTGAAGGATCTGTTTGGTTAGAAGGTCGTATCCAGGAGATTTACGGGAGGATAGTTTTTGTAAATGATATTTGACCTCAGAAGGATGAACTGCTTTTGGTGGTAAAGAGAGTGGAATTGGTGAAGAGAGGAATTCTTCTACTTTTGCAGTGTGGGTCGGATTGGATTCAGAATGAGGAATAAATTTACAGAAAAGGTGTTTGATGAATCCCTCAGCTTTGTCTTTATCAGACGCCGCCCAGGAACCATCATCTCGATGGAGAAGATGGGAAATATTATGGGTTTTTAGGTAGTTTTTTTTGTGATATTCCAGAGGGCATTGTCCTGAGGAGAGAGGGAGGCAAGGAAGGAGTTAAAGGATTGGGATTTGAAGTTGGATAATGCTTGGTTTAGTTGTTTACAGTGATAACTATAGGAGCGGTGGTCGGTGGGATGCCTGGTACGTTGCCATAACAATCGGGCACAGCATTTGGTATGGATTAGGTTGAGGATGTGATGAGGTAATTTATTTTTCTTTGGAATTCTCGGGGAATGATTAGGGGAGGAAGCAGTCTCTACAGCTTGTTGAATGGTGGTGGTTAAGGAATGTACGGCATTATCAAGGTCTTCTGGTGTTCTCAGGGTTATTCTGAAGTCAATTTGATCGGAAAGGATTTGATGGACGAGTTTCCAGTTGACTGGGCCTCTGATGAAGGATGGTGGAGGGTTTAGGAATAGGAGCTAGTGATACATGAAATATTAATGGACTGGAGTCTAAGGAAAGGTCATAAAGGTGTGCAATGGAATAGTTGAGGGAACCTAAACGACTGTGGATGAAGAAATTAAGGATATCGGGGTTACAGTTAGGACTAGTGGGCCAGTAGGTAGGTGAGTTAGGGGGAACGAGGTTAAAACATTTGGAATTGAGTGCAGACAGCAGTGTTCGACCTCAACAATTTGTACATATGAATTAATAAAGGAAATTTATGAAAGAGAAAAACTGTTTAGATTTTCATATACCTCATTAAAAATATCTCCATTAGGAATTTAATCTGGAGCCAGTCATTGAGTATGACTCTGTGAATAAAGCAGAGTAAGTCTTCAGGGAAGATATTTAGGAAATGGAAGTTTTCAGAGTCAAAGGAAGTTTGTGAAATACAGTGTAAGCGAGAGTGTAGTACAGGAAGAGCACCAGAAAAATAAGAATTTAGTTCCTCAGGAATGATATCACTTTGACTAAGTTTATAACTAGGTCAGACAAAAGACTTTTATTTTGCTTTCAAAAATAACTTGACTATTTAAAATATTATAAAGCCATTAAAAACTTACATGAACCGGCATTGAAAAGTATTTGGTTTTAAATTTATCAGCCATTTCTCCAAATTCTTGTAAAGTATACTCTCTTTGAGCTTGTGTAAATCCAAAAGCTTCCACTGGCTTACTAACCTCTTTGGCAAGACACTTAGGGCATCTCCAATCACCTTTAGAATTAATGACATTTTAAAATTTAAATAAAATAATATTGTTCAGGTTGTTTACCTTATGACAGTCTCTTTTTTAAATTATTTTATTTTACATTTTATAAATGAAGAAGCTTTCGGAGAAGCCATTTTACTATATGAGATGATGTCTACTGAAGAGGTGTCACAGTTCCTAAAGTTTTTATAGATGCATATGATGCTGGACTCCAAAAGCTTTCGTAATTATAAGATTTAAAATAAAATAATTTAAAAAAGAGGCTACTGTATGATAAATATTTTGAACAATCAAATAATACAGAACATTCTAATACTACTTACAAAATGAAATTTCAACATAATTTTTCTTACCAAAATAAATTTAACACCAACTATAGTGAAATAAACAACTATTGTTTCTATTCACCTAATCAAACTTATCATTACTCGACTAAGTAACATAATCAAGATGGCAACATTTATCTACAAAAGTTCGGAAAATTCGTTCACTCTCGTTTTGAATGATCCTCACCAAAATTTCAACCATTTCAGATGCATAGTTGTTATTGATTTTTTATTTTTTTTTTAAATGGAAAAAAGTCAAAGCTGTCATTAAACATTCATTTTTGAACGGGGATTTACCAACACAAATTGAAGACAAATTGGATTCTGTATAAAAGGACTCTACAACATCAGTTTACCATCAAAATTAAGAGAAATTGAATTCAAATGTGGCCAAAAAAGCTTTATATACTGAAGTACACCAAACAGTGTAAGATAAGGTCAAATTAAAATTAGATACAATAGCAGAGGCTCTGAAATGTTCATACTTCATGTATGTGGGGCGAGCGATGTTATAAGCAAACATAAACCCAACCCCTTTTCAAAAGGTGCCAATCCTTTGTTAAAAAAAATAACATGAAGAAGAAATTGAAAAGGAAAAAAGACAGATGTAATTAATTATAAACTGACAAAAAAATATATTAATGCAAATCCTGAATTGAGAAATTATACAAAAAAATAAAAAAAATACAATTAACATTACTCCGGAAAACATAGATTATAATATTATATACAAACAACCAAAGAAAAATTTCCTTAATTAACAAAAAACAAGAAATTTTAAACATTATTTGAGAGCAATAAAAAATTTAGATAGTATGGTATTTGTTATTGAAATATGATTAAAATAAAAGGTCTATTTTTTCATAAATAAAAATTGGAAGAAATATTCTCTACGAGTTGTGAAGAGAGGTCTAAATTCATTATAGATAATGGCGGAGTTCCATTCTAAATTAGTAAGCTCAAAATAAATTAACAAGGCCTGGGTTATGTAGATGGTTGAGCTTGCTGGCATCAATAAATGGCATCAACTGGTAGCCAATGCTGGAAAAGATTGACGTTATCGAGATGGGCTCGATGGGGAGAAGACAAAAGGGTAATCGATCTCTCTCGAATTTGCTGTAGCTCCTTCTTTCGAAGCTTCCGCAGGTAGACTAGTCGAAGGGCATACATCACACACCTTTTACTTACGACCCTACTTTGAGCAGAATTGGGTATTTTCTTACACAGAAAAGAGAAAGTAAAAACTATAAATGGTACAATCTATTATTGAAAACAAGCAATCACCATATATTTTTTTCCACCTGTCTAATCTATTACAGTTATAAATTTTTTGTCATAAATATTATCCTTCTACAGCTTTATATTTAAATTATGTATTTAATTACATTAAATAATTAAGTGCCATGAGTTTTTTAAGTCCGACAAAAGTGCCAGTGATAAAGGAGTAATTAGAAAGCATTGCCATAAAGTTTAAAATTAAAGTCATGAAAATTTAATGTATATTAATTTAAAACATTTATTTTTAATAAAAATCAATAACATATTATAAAAACCTGTACCACTACTACCCATGAAGGGTATTGCGTGCAGTACTATGTGAGGAAGTACTGTTGCAAGGCCAACGGTTGTGCAGGGAGGTGATGGGGCCGATATCACACTCAACTGTCAGGTTTTTCCCCCTTAATTATTTTTTTTAATTAAAGGTACCCACTTTATAGAGGCTGGGTGTGCCCCAGGAGGGTCTCCCGATCCCAGGATCAATCCACGGCTAATGAAAAATTAATTGTCATTAGCAGGATTCGAACCCAGGACCTTGAGCTCTGGAAGTCAGTGCTCACCCACTGAGCTACCCCGCTCCCTAACATATTATAAACATAACTTTAATTCAATAACATAGCTACTCTTGCAATAAATTTTCAGGCCTGTTTGATAGAGTGAAGAGCTTTAAGTGTAGCTGCCGGGGAAACGGAGGGAAACATGAGTTACAGCACCAATATGGACATTTTAAGCATTGGTATACATCATAATTGGACATTATTAAATGAATTTTTAATTGAATAATGTATTCAATAATTTTTCAATCACTAATATTTTAGTGATAGTTGATTCCTAGAATAACCTGAAGTTCTGATTTATGAGAATTATTCAGTATTTTTATATGAAAAAAAATTATAAAAATATTCTCTGAATAAAAATTTATTTAGTGAAAATATTCACTGAATAATCATTTATTCAAGAATTAATCATTACAAAAATTTTCATTTTCTTCACCTTTAAATAGGTAATTCTTTTTTAAATATAAGTATGTATATTATATAGGCTATCTCATTTCTTAATGGGCAAACTCTGGAAGGTGATTTTAGACAAGATTTCCAACAAAATATTTCATTTGATGTATGGGACGATTTCAAACAGAAAAGGAGTCAAGTCCAATTTTGTCTTTTCTTTTGATGGTCACGTTTTCTCTTTCATAGGAAGCAATAACAGAAAAAGGCTGTAATTAACGTATTTAAAAATTACTTCATAGTAAACTAGAGAAAATTTCCTTTCAATAAAAGTACAATTTGTCTTTGTCAAAACCATTAAAAGGAAACTTGAGCGGCCAAATTATGCTAATCAAGAATTATTCACAATGCTTTTTTATAATCCTACAACTACAATACAAATACCACACTTTTTAAAAACTTTCTTGTTTAATTTAATATCAATTTATTTGAAGTTAATTTCAGAATAGAATTGAGATTCACCTCTGAGTGAAAATTTGTGTGATTAGATATTCTATCACCCTAGAATATCTATGTTTTCAGAATAATAAAAAAAAAAAAGAAGCATTAATAATAAGTTTTAATTCCTTCTTTCTTGAGAACCTGATATATGTTTTAGTAAATTAATTATGAAAATACACTTTTATCCATTAATAAAATACTTAAAAAATACGGCTTTTTCAAAAATTTATTATCTAACGTGATAATGAATAATTCCTTCTTTTTTTTGAGAACCTGATATATGTTTTAGTAAATTAATTATGAAAATACACTTTTATCCATTAATAAAATACTTTAAAAATATGGCTTTTTCAAAAATTTACTATCTAACGTGATAATGAACCACTGTTGATTACACAAATATCTATTTTTGAAATGTTTACAATGAGCTATGGGGGAGCAAATGGGTAAATTAACGGGAAGTCTAGAAAGAGAGAGAGATGGGTGCGGCAGTCTCTCCCACTCTTTGTGAAACGATTGAGCATTAGTACTCTACCCACTGCAAGTGAGTTCCCTGATCTCCTTATCCCTACCAACACCTACTGTCACCTCCACGTTGCGCCCCCCCGGGGAGGACGATGGGACTCACAGATGACGGGGTTCATCGCTTTTATCCATATGATAGTAGTGATGAATCTTTTAGGCACCCAAGCTAGGTTCGGGAGCTCAAACTGTGGCTCAATAGCAGAGGGTGGATGAAATATACTGTTTTAGATCGATCCCCTTGGGAAACCAGGCAACACTCCATTGCAAGTAATGACGGCTGAAGGAAGAGGGGGTTGTACCTGCAGTCCTTTTAGACCCCCATACTTGTGGGAACAAAGTATCAGATAAAAACTTAACTAAATTTAAATCATCGGAGCAAATGAACTTATCAGAGGCTTTCTCTGATACACTAGATGAATCTCTAGTCAGGGACCTTACTGAAGATCCTGACGGAGCATGTGGATACACTCCGTGTCCAGACTGAGGGGTAGGAGGAAGAAGTTATGGAGGTGGCTAGTGCTATGGTACAGGCTCCAACAGAACTTATGGACATGGAAGAGACGGACAAACCTGACTTAGATAATACAGGAGGTAGCCCCTCACAATCTAGACCGATGATAGGTGGGGACCACGCATACAAGGACGTGTGGCCTACCACGCCGAGGTCGAGCAGGAACTTTAAGAAGAATAACAGGAAAGGTGAAAGCCCTTTAACTGTCCAACACACCCGAAGTGAAGAGGCCACCTGTAGAGCGCTCAGATGAGGAAGAAAGGGCCCCTAAAGGCTTGGGTGACGAGGTAGGGCTTCTGATGGAAAACTGAGTCTGATGGTGGAACCCTATCATCCAATGCATCTTGTACATCTCTAAATTCCACATAATTTTGTGTTTTGTCAGATTCGACATATCTGACAGAACACAAAATTATGTGGAATTTAGAGATCCCAAACTTACAAACTGGGTTTTCTACAGCAAAAATTGGGAGGCGGCAGTTAAATGCTGCCCCAAAGCTATCCACATAGCATAGCAATTGAAATGCCTCAATACTTCATGCTATGACCGATGCTATGACTGATGCTATGACTAAATCATACCTGGACAGTAATAATGACAAAAAAAACATAACGAACAGGAAGGTTTCCTGGTGGAAGCGAAGCCTCTCAAACCAACGGACACCCACAAGGAGATTGATCAATGCTGCAATTGAGTATCACAAATCTGTCAGAAAAGCCAAAAGACTAGCCTGGAAGAAGGTTTTGTCTGGAGGTGGACAATATTCTGGCTGCATGTCGAGTTAGCAAAATTCTGGCAAAACAAGTTAATCAAGGTACTCTGGAAACGCTTAAATACGAAAATAAGTATACCACGAATAAAATTGAAGCTTTGAGAGTGCAGTAGCAAAAGCACACTTCCCCAAATGTTTTATGAC